CGTGTCGTTTTTACCTTCTAAGCAATGGCATGCACTGGTATCCGTAAATTCGTGAAAAAACATTAAACATACTTTAAAGAACGATTTTTTTCAACTACGTGTTCGCCATTAAAGTTTTATTAAGACATTCCAAGATCACAAATTCCAAATTTACTGTTCTGTTAAGAACACCACCACAGGAACCTTCGGAGGTGTGAACATATTCACTTGTCTTTTAATGCTTAGAGATTTACTCAGCATAGACTTTGGGAAGTTCACTTCTTTTTTCTTTCCTTTCTTTCTTTTTTTTTTTTTTTTTAAATAAGCCTTTTAGTTAACTTTTCTTGCAGAGATGTTTTTTCCTTGTATATCTCAGCATATCTCACTTGTGGCTTGGCTGGATGAGGCACCGCAGCCTCAGTTTTCCTGCAGTTCTTTCCCATTGGTAAGATCATTTTGCCTCAGTGCTTTTTGCTCATGTCCAAGAGGAAGCAGAGTTTGTGTTAGTTCTTATAATAAATTAAAAGCTCTTTCTTTTTTTTTTTTTTTTTTTTTATTTTTTCCTCCTAAATATTTGCAGCCTTCAGAACACTTGAGTCTCTAATGGATCTGCTTTGTGGATTGGCAATGATGAACTCAGGCTCTTTTCCCCTTGAGAATTAGGGTAAACTACACTAGATTATCTACAGTATTTTAAATTTAAGCCTTCAGGAAATGACAAAGGTGATTCTTTGCTTCGAGTGCCTTAGCAGAATTATTAATTTCAAGCTATGAGGCAGACTGAAATTTCCAGGGCTCACCCTGCAGCTGCCAGCTTTTATTTTAGTTTTAATGAATTTATTTTAAAACAAATACAGTGGTGCTTTAGCTTCTTCTGTTCATTCTCTCCCCCACCACCATCAAATCACCTCCTTTATGTAATTGAATATTTAACTTTGTAAAATGGTAACAAGTGCCATGCAGAGAGCTCTGGGCATTATAGCTATGGGAGGTACAGCTACTCTGCACTGCCCACTAATTAGAAATACAATATAGCATCCTCCTACTTTATCCAAAATTGTATGGATCTCACCTTCCTATATCCCCAAAGAATGTTTGGATTTTAGCTTTTGCAAAGAGTAAAAATCAACGTAAAGCAGATGACAATGGAGAGCATTGTCCACTGTTTTTTCACTGAAGTTTATACTTGCACCCCAATTCCCTGCAATTTTTGAATTCTGTGGGGAAATGCTTCTGCCTCAGCCAAACTACCTGTTACAGTTTTTCCTTATTTAGAGGACATCCACTGTTTATTCAAATAAGGGTTCTAGAAAAAAAACCAAACATCCTATTGTAAGGATTTCGCCAGGTATTCCTCTCAACACTGGCAACTACCAGACATATTAAACTCTCTTTGCAGGGAAGTTGCCACTGTAAAAAAACACAATATATTGTAGAGAAAATAGAAAACAAACTACTGGAGACATGCCAGGCCACATCTGCCCTGCTGAATAGATAATTTCCTAAGCTATAATGAGATTCCAATGTGTTGGAAAAGGATCATGAGGTTCCTGTGCTAAACAACATTATCTTTAATCAAAATACTACTCATTTCTATCAAGGAGAGCTTATTCTTCCTGATTTAAAATGCAAGCCCACCCTTCCCAAACCTAAGAATGCTCTTCTAAATTAAAAAAAAAAAAAACAACCCACCAAATAACTCTTTAATAAAAGCACAAAGCACCTGACCAGCACAAGTATTAAACCTGAAGGTGCTTCCAGTCTCAGCAAAAAGGAAAGCAATCTGGACTTCTAATACCTTACAGCCTCACAAGAGTGCTCTAAAAAAGTTCTGCCATTTCCTTGGTGATGTAAAACATCTCATTTATCCCTGCAGACCTAAAAGGCTTCAAAAATAATACCTACAGCTTAATTAAAAATACTATGTCTCTGAGTAAAGACCCCAAGTCACTGGAACAGCCAAAGCTTTCATGAGAACAAATGCAACATTCATGTTACTCTAATCCTTTAATTTCTTAAGGAATAAAAAAAAGAAGGGGATATGTCAAGGTTGTTCCCTCAGGTTGAAATATTAACTCAGTATGTCTTAGTTCCTACTTTCACTGTAAATTTATATTTCTTCTGCTGTTTTATATTTGGTTAAAAAAAAATTACATTCATCATGATTTATTTATTAAAGTGTCTCCAAGTCCCCAGAATTTTCTCTGGCCATGTTCAATTAAGAAAATAAATCCTACATGGAAGCAGCATCTCCTGATCTGCAGACTGGACCTCTATCTGACTAAGGACAAACACTTTTTTTTTAGGACAAGGTTTTGTCAAGCATGAATATCGAACAAGTAGAAGCAATCTGCATAAACTTCCAGATTTGCATCCACCATTGCTCTCCTTCCTGGCCACTCTGCAACACCACCACCAAAAAAAGGCTAAAAAGAATACCTGTATCATCCCTGCATGGTAGATTCTTCTTTTCTTCTTTTAAATACATTATTTAGAAGATGAAGGGAAAATTTCACTACCTGATTCAGCACAAGTGTGATCTTGAAAGATCCACTCACTTCCAGTGACTGTGTTTGAAAACCGGTGAAAAAAACCCCAAATATTATATTTCATAAAGAAAATTAGTGGATAGTAAATTACTTCTTTAAAACAAAGAATCAAAAGTCCTAATCATGTTTTCCTGGTCTAGGAAGTAAAGGAGAAGTCAACAAACTAATTTATTTTCCCTTGCGTTCATAATTGAAATGTTTTGCAGACACAAAACGGTGCTGTAGTTTTTAAAACATGCATCTTATTGACTCTTGCCCCATGCATATGACAGTGCCTTTTTCTTTAATGAGTTTGCACTTTAAAGAAAATAATAAAATTTTGCATATTTTCCAATTTTCCCATTAATTATTCCTAGAGTTAATTATGGGCACTGTGACTGAAAGCCACTCTGCCATACCTGTTTGCAGAACACTACACTGACCCTCTGTGATCTTTCAGTGCCACAAACTTGAAGTATTAGTGAAAGGAAAAGTCTTTCATAATATGCTTAATTTCTCTGCTTTAGTTCAAATCAGTAAAGCAAACCTCCAGATTAATTTACAGCAGAATAAAGTGTTAATCTAGGTTTCTATGACAAGTGTGATACAAGACAGAGAAGTCAATCTAAAAACATCTTTTCTTTCTCACACAGATTATTTCCTCTGGTGATAAACTGAAGATAAACTAAAAGAAGAGACATTTTGTTAAAAACAAGTCAGGCTTCCCTTTCCTACTGTAAATTTCCAAAACCATAGGTTAGTGAAAAAGTTCTCTTGAAATAAAAATACTGCTCTTAAACCTCCTTTCTATATGTCTGATACCATAAAGATCATTTTGCACGTTCACTTCCATTCAAGGGCACTCAGTTGTTGCATTACTTGGCACTAAACAAAATGAGAGTATGAGGTGACAATATTGAAGCAGGAACCATAAAGGATTACACAGCAGAGCATGAAGAATTAAATGAGGTAAGCACTACATGGCCACAATTTTAAATTTCATTGTGTAAATTGTTAGACAACTGCAAGAGAGTCAAGAGTGCAGTTACAGCTCTAGAAAGAGAAATCTTATAGAAAAGAAAATATGAGTGTAACTTCACATATACTTCACATTTATGCGAAAGAATTCTGGAAATCTTAAGAAAAATCTGCCTTTTTCCCAAATTAAAAATTGGTTAGGTATTTGAAAAATGAATCTAACTCAAATGAGAAACTTTTTAAAAAATTTATTTATTTATTTATTTATTTTTTTATTTTAACCGAATAAGAGAAAGTATTCCTGTTACAATCAAAGTTTCTGACTAAACCCCAAGCAATTGTTCTCAGCTTGAATTTGTCTTTGAAATCAGCTGTTTATCTTTTTGTCCTAAGGAAGAGTCTGAGTGCCTGAAAGGCTTGTTGGAAGTCTTAAAAACTGACATCTTACCACCTGATACCTTTACATTCAAAAGAAGAAGCTATATAAAAATTAAAATCACTCTGCTTACATTAGAAATGTAGCAATACAGATATAATAATGGCATAGCATCAAAACCCAACTTTTTTGTGTAGCTGATTATTGTAGAGTTAATAATTCTGTTTAACACAGGATAGTAAAATGGGACCAGTTTCCAAGGACTTAATTTTTAAGCTTGTGTGATATCCTATTTTACTTCTACTTTAATTCAAATTTTAAACTTTTATTTTGTCTTTGTTTCTTTGTTTGCTTGTTTGTTTTTCTTACTCAGGGTACAAAATATAGCCATGTGAAATTCCCACACATGAATGAAACATAAATTCCTTAAAATTCTGAAGACTGTAACATTCCAGTAGGTCACCAAGAAATCAGTGAATTTACAGGCTCTTCCTCCAAACATTTCCAGCATCAGAGACTACAGAACTCAACTTTTGGAATAGTAATTTACCTGCTATTATAACATATTTAATTTGTAATTCCTAAAACTGCTAAAAGCGACGTTGGGAATGTCCCTCTCATTTTGGGTTAGGTGGCATACAATTATCCTTATAGAAGCACCTCTCTAATGGGTAACTCTAGAAATTCTGGTTCATTACTGGCTTAGGCTTCCAACTTTTATAACCTTTTCTTTATTTTGTACCTGTTCTGTAAGGAACATGTGTAACATCTTTACTCTTCCACAGGTATAAAAGTCACCTAAACTGTTTACAGCACAAATGCCACTCTCTGAGTGTGTTGTCCTGGGTTCCTTTTGAAGTCAGGGGACAAAACCAGGCACTCAGATGGCATGATTTATCTCATTGCAATCTGTGTGCCTCTAAGGGTCACAGGAATTTTATTCTTTATGTGTCAGCCTTTCTCTATGCAGAGTCTGGACGAAAATAAACCAAAAGGATTGCTGTGCATTGCAAAGATCAACTGCTTTCACTGATGAATGACAGATGCCACAAGAAAATCCACCACAACATTAGGAAGGCAATGAAAAGCAAAAATAAAATACATAGAGCAGGTCCAACAGAAGGGTAAAACACACTAACCTGATTCTGCTTCCTTTGTTCTTGCATGGCTTCCGAGACAGCCTGGGCAATCTTCTCTTTATGACTATCACGTTCTGCTTCCCACAATTTTCTCTCTTCTGCATGAACCTTCTCCATGTTCCTCCTCTCCTCCTCCACTGCTTTCAGAACAGCTTCCTGCACCGCTTCTTTCTCAGCCTTGCAAACAAATGAGGCACGATCAGATGAGCGACACACCCAACACAAGTGCCTAAATCCTATAGATTACCTTCTCCTAATGAGATCTGTGAGCTGGTAAGATATTGGACACCAGCATTTTCACTTCTGAACTATGAACTTAAGTTTGCCTGAAGCAGCTATTACCTGTGGACAACGACTTGTGCAGTTACAGAAAGGAAAACGAAGTTGCAAGTAAGGCTCTTAAATCCCCCCCCTGCCCAAACCACAGTATCTCATAACTTACAAGTAAATCTGTTTCTTGCAATTCACTGGCACTTGATTTTTTATTTAGATACTTAAAAAAATACAGTAATTTTTTTTAAAAAAAGCTCTATTAAACCAAGGTATTCTGTTATCCACATTTTCCTGTAGATATGGACCATGTAACAAACCGAATGTTATTCAGAGAGATGCTCAGCTAGTGCTCATTTAATCCACATAAAAACATGCAGAAAATTCTAATATAGCCTTCTGAGCTGCACTAGGTAATACACATCACCAGTTTTCCCAGATCATTACATGCAACTGGATTCTACCTCAGTATTAGAAACGAAAGATAGCTTAACATCTACAAAGTTACTGTCCTAACACCAACGCACTTACTAATGAAACAGACAGAAAAAAATCGTATTTTATAAACTGAATACTCCCTTTTACTCAAACATCAACTTAAAAAAAAATAATTGAAAACAACCATATTAAAAGTTAAGTAAGACACCATGTTAATTGTCTTCCCAAGATGAACAGCTGACCTGCTACCCAGCCCTTCAAATCAAGATGCAATGATGATGAAAGGCCACAAAACCAGACATTTAGGTGACAGCAATACCTGAACTGCAATATTGTGACTTCTTGTCATAAACAATTGAGAGGCTATCCTCCACAGAAGTTGCACTGACTCTCTCTATCAAGGCATAGGAAACAGCAGGTATGTTCATGATTAATGGAATTTGCTTCTTTTAAGCACAGATGAGAACACAGAGCTTGATAAATTTAGTCGTGAAATAAAAATGGGTTGCTGAACTTGGCATTTCTAGTGACACATGTGGGCTCCACATTGTAAATCTACTAAATTAACCAGAGATACCTTGGCAGCAGCTGCCACAGCCTCCTTGCTTCTTTGTCTCTCTTCATCCAAACACTTGTCCAGCACTTCCTGCAAACGTTACGAAAAATTAAACTGCAATACACAACAGAGGAATGGCTGAAAATAAGTTCAGACTGTCAGAGTGCTTAAGAAACCTTCCTCTTCCTGTCAGTGGGTGTGACAGGATCATTCCCAATGATCTCCATGGTGCTGATCAGACCCCTCCTTTTTTTTTTTTTTTGGTAAACAAAAGCAATACCTTGTGCTTTTGTGATTGCTGCATCAAAGCCTCTTCTATCTTTTCTGATAACACTTCCTTCTCGGCTTCCAGAATGTCAAGAAGTCGCTGATGCTGATGGGAGAAAACAGTCATATTATTGAAACCACAGTCTGCTTCTGAAACAGATGCAAAGAACACATCCAAGGTTTCCCAGGGGCTTACAAAACTACTTTCAGTGTAGATTCAGTTAAACTACATAAGCAGCACTCCTTTAAATGATTTCATGTAAAGAAAAAAAAAATTACAATAATAAGAAATGTTCCTGAATATCTAATACATCCTCTAAGTCTGAAGAGGAGTAGGAAAGAAGTCGAAAAAAGCAACACTTACCTCAATGATACAGAGGGTTCAAGCAACACCAAACCTTAAATATTTTAAACAGCTGCAGAATTTAAATCATGCTTTTACTGCATCTCAGTTAGATGTACAGAGAGCAGAAGACAAATGTATTTTTTTCAACCATTTGTGCTATCATGAACTTTGAAAGCCAGGAAATGTGAGGAAAAGAAAATGCTGCTTTCTTCAAGGAGAAAAGGGACACTGAAGTAAAGTGACCGTGTAGTCGTCATCACAACTCACTTATTTGTTTTTCACTATATAAAGTGAAGCATTTCAAAGATACAGGTTCTGTCTGTAAGAGCAAAGCTGTTTTTCAGAACTAAAAATTCTTACTGGAAATGGTTGATGCCGGGTATTTGTCATGAGAGAATTTCCAGCAAGCCAGTACACTTTTTTTACTCGTCATTTAAGAGATGATCTATCATAACCTTAAAGTACAGTATCATTACACAATAATATTTTATAGGATCACCAAAAGGAAAGTGTTACAGTAGAGTTTTATATTAAAATAAGTGTACATAAAGAACATAAATTTTTTACACAAACACACAGGCAAACACCCCTTTCACCAGAATTCCTAGGAAACAGGCATTTCTGTTTCACAAATTTTATTATTTTTTAATTTCAAGTGTCTCTAATGGCAGCTAGAAATACATTACCAAACTGCACTACTATGTTCTGAAAAACATTTTTTCATTTGAAGAATAGAAAACTTCTATGCTGCTTTATAAAATAAAACACCTATCTGCCCTTCCAGGATAAACATGTAAAGAGGCATTTCCTTGTGAATTTACTTAAAATAGGTCTGAATGTGGCAGACATATTCTAATGGAAAACACCTGTGGAGGGAGCAGTGAAATCCACATCATGGTTCTACTTAATGATGTGTAACTCACTTTTCTCGTGGACTCAGTATTTTCAGACATTACCTTCAACTATGGGAGCACTTTCAGAAACTGCTCTTTCCCAGTAACTCAAAGGTGAAACAATAAATGGATTTTATTGGCTCTTCACTTGACCAACTGCACAAATGTGCTAAACAAACAACACAAAACAAACACGTGCAAATATTTTGTCAGACAGATCCACAAAGGCTTCCTAATGCAAAGTAAAAGATGGAATCTTTATTTGCTCGTCAAGAATCAGCAAGGGAGTTTCTAAGGAGAGCTTGTCAGACAAAATCACCTCTGTCTCTGAAGCCCCTTCAACAGAACAGCAATCCACTTGTTCAAGCAAGAGGAGAGTTTCCAGTCTAAGCCTATCAGGCAGATAACTCCAGTTTGACTCTGACCATCAGATTTCTAGGTTAGATATGAAGATTGTAGCCACATTTCCAGCTGCCTTAGTGGGCCATCTACCAAATGTATTTCACAACATTCTCAGTGGGACCACAGCTTTTAAACTTCAGGGCAGTTTTCAAGTTTTCTTTTACATCTATGTTTAAGAAGACATCCAAGCCCATCCTGGAAGTCCTGAAACAATGCAGGCATTTGCATTAATAAAATACAGAATATTTATACACAGCCAACGGAGAAAACAAATGTCAATCCTCCCTGCTGGTGAAAACAGTTTTATGACTACAGCCCTCCATGTCACTGCACAGCAGTTCACTTCTCATAAACCTGTGGGAGATCCACAATCCTGAAAAATGCAGATATTGGGATCAAAAGCTCTTATCATACAGACACCTGAAAAATCCTGATCTCCCTTGCTGCAAAGAGAATGCACAACTAAATCACAGAATGGTTAGGGTTGGAAGGGACCCCAAACTCCCCCCTGCCATGGGCAGGGACACCTTCCACTAGTCCCAGGTTGCTCAGAGCCCCATCCAGCCTGGCCTGGGACACTTCCAGGGATGGGGCAGCCACAGCTTCTCTGGGCAACCTGTGCCAGGGTCTGACCACCCCACAGTAAAGAATCTTTAAAATACAAGTTACTGCTTTTGCTTGAGACTTTTAACTATGGAAAGGTTGCCCAGTAAGTAAACAATTACCATAAAAATGAAGGCTGCTGTGACTGCAGTGTGATTGCTTTGACTGAGCAAGGCCCTCCCATCTCCTTGGTAGATCAGATCTATGTGGTATTACATTTGGAGTTCTGGGGAATTCACTGACATTCAGTAAGAACTCTGATGAAGAATTGTGTCTGTTTATAAAAACACATTAGTTCATATTTTTCAAGATAATACTTGTGAGCACATTTAGAGTGCTTTCAAAAGAAAAGCTATTGACTTCTGCCATAATTCAATGCAACTTTACATTAAACAGCACCCCTACTTCTCATGGCAGTACAACATTTAGAATTTCACGACTGTAAGTCTCTTGTGAATAGCTTGGCATGTCCTTTCCTAATGTAATATAAATGCTTATTCACGTGGAATAATCCTCCCACAGATGATTGCCTTCACATCTGAACTTCCAAAAGTTCATAAATCATCTCAAATGTTGCAACACCTGTCCATAAAACCTCATAAAGCAAAATCTCTTTGTATTAGACCTAGAGAAATACCTTGGAGAACTGCTTATTTGGCTTCAGAATCTATATTTGGTCAGTTTTGTTTTTCAGAGAGAAGCACACCTTAAGCTATTAAATTACATCAATTAGATGAAAAAATAAGTAACCAGAAATAGAGAAAATGGAATAGAATGTTGCACAAAATTCTCCCTGAAACAGGTCTTGAGTCCAGAAAGCCCAGCTGGCATAGATAGCATGGATGTGACGTGGAAGCTTCCATTCTGCATGTAATTAACATGCAATTTAATTACTTATCAAGCATTTTTTTTCCCCAGGTACTATGCCCCACAGTTTTATCAGCCTTCACAGGGAGCCATGGAATCTCCTTGAAAGTTGTGCTTATTAAAATGATGTAAAGCAAGCTGGGTGATTATTATTAACCCATGGTCTAGAAAAAGATTCACCTCAATGCACCTGAATTCCTTATTACAGAAGCACAGCTCTTTCAAAGGCAAGTTCAGGGACCTTGGATATGTGCATCCCTTGAGCAGGAAATCTGGGAAATTATGGACAGTGAAGGTTTCCATGGCCTCCCTCTTCTGACAACAATCAGAGAAAATTTAGTATTTCTGTATAATGACAGCAGCCTGACAGACTTAGAAAATAATAAAAAGCAGTAATTCAAGGACATGATTAATGAATGTATGAACAGAATTCCAAGCTCTTAGTTTAAATGTCTCTGCACAGCAAGCCATTGTAACCCCTCTGGAACTATTCTTTAATTAGGGCAACCAGCTTTGCATTTCAGATTTTAAAATCAACTATATACCCTCCAAGAAGTTTCTATGCCACTGAAGCCACGTGGTATGGTACATTTCTAGAATGTACGAAGACTTTATGGCCAGGATGAACCTTATCTACAGTCAGTGCTTCCTCAGTTGGTTTTTCATTAAAGGCAGTTGAAGGCTAAAAACAAACAGGAGGTGACAGTTTCAAGTGCCCTCGTATTTTTAGCTAACAGGAATAGGATGTTTTGGGTTCATTTACTCAACCTCTAAGCCATAGAAACCAGTGCTGAATTAAAGATCATACACACTGAATTAAATGCCTACAGCTAAGCAGACTTATCTCAAAACCCCCTCCCCTTCTCATCAGGAATTAAAGCCATAGGAAGCATGTGAGATGGACCAATCTCATTCAGCATTTCCAGCTTCCACAGGTCAGAATTATGAACGTGTTCCTCTCTCTGTTGGACAGCACTAAAGGAACAAGGGAAGAGCTCTGAGCCTTCAAGTACCACATAGAGACTGAATTTTGATTCCCAAGCATTGGAGAGGCCACTTTCTCTTAGGCTCATCTGGGCATCCACGCTGGAGGTCTCCTGGTCATTGTGCCTGTCGAGAGGATGCTGCCCATGCTTCAAAAAGGAAACCTAACAAAAGCTTTGAAGAAAGAGTGATCTGCCTCCTGTGAGGAGGACAACGAGCTCATCAGACCTAACAGTCCTACGAAAAATATCCAAGTCTCTTCCAGGTTTCCTGTGGAAGATGTGAATGGAGCCTTCCATTTGGAAAAAAAAGCCCCTAACCTGTGCAGATTGTCCACAGAGTTTTTAAATGGAAGCTGCATTGAGGGCGTCCCTTAAAAATCTACGATCCAAGAACCAGAAAACAGGTTTAAAAAAAAAAAAAATTTTTCTGAAAATGGAAACTGATAAAAAGTTATGGCTACATAAATAAATGTCCTGAACTGGAAATGTGATGCACAAAAAAACTGTATAGCTCTTTAATGCATTATTTTACCTCATTGCTATAGCCTAGCACTCTTACTTATTCTTCTTTCTCAAAAAGCTGTGCTACCTCCTTTTATTCCTTAGTCAGGGAGGACAGGGTTAAGAGTGCAAAATTCTGAGCTGTAAAAAATTCTGAAGAGCAGATTCTAGTGGGACATGATGACCCAGTGAGACATGAGAGATTTCAAAAAAAAAAACAAACAACAAAACAACCAAACCCCAAACTTTTCTCAAAAGTAGTATGCCAAAGTGGAGAGAAATACTGATATTTCTACCCTACTCTCTGGAAAGTAGCATGAGAGGGTCAAGAAGAGCCTTGTGAAAATTAACTTAAAACAAAAGGCATTCAAAAATAGGTTATAATGTTTTCCTCCCTGCAAGAAGTTCTCTAGGCAGTGGTTCCAAATGAAAATCGTTTGATGTAGATTCAAATATAAATACAGAGGTCCTGTGGTTTTTCTTGATTCCTGTAAAAAAGAAATCAAAA